ACAAGAAAGACATCACTACCTTTCCTTCTTGTTGTAGAGATGATTCTACCCGTTGGGGTAAGCACACATGCTTTTGTTTACCTCTGTAACATACGCTTTATTGGGTTTCACTTTATAGAGAATTCTGCACGGGAGATCACTCTCAATCGCAATTTTAGAAGTGAAAAAAAGCCATGAATTAATTTTTTTTCTCCGGATAACCGTGACTTGCCAATGTCCTTAAATGTTTAGTCGGACAAAAATGACAGCACGGACAATACATAGAGAATAGAAATACATTTTGCAAAGCAGCTATTTCAGTAGCAATAGACATATTTAAATGCTATTGTCCAAAGGTTTTCTGTAAAATTTTCAATTTGCAGTTACATGTTTTGATTGTTATTTTACATTTCATTCAATCATAATTCTATGATCACACTTGGCTAGGAAGAGGAAAAAAGAGTGACCCAGTACCACTTTACCGCGTGGCCAGACAACTCAGTCCCGGAGGATCTAACGTCACTCATCTGCTTCCGAAATTTGGTCAGGAATGGTTTGACGCCATCAGACGGGCCAATTGTTGTTCACTGCAGGTTAACATTTTCTATAAAATATACCTCCTTTGCAGTAGAATAATTCGGTAATTCATAAAACTCCTTTGAACCCTTTAACGATAGAAGTTTACAACAAGACTATCGTAATGACAGTTTGTTAACAAAACATAGAAAGGGCTTTGAATTATCCGCCTTTGTTAATTTTAGTGCAGGGATAGGAAGAACAGGAACATTTATCGCCCTTGATTATCTTCTGGAAGAGGGCGCTGCTGAACAGATGATTGACGTCAAAGGATACGTAGCTTCTCTTCGACATCAGCGCGGGAAATCTATTCAGACTTGTGTAAGATTTTTTTTATTTCAAATCACAGTGTCCTGAGCATACTACGCCTCACTATGTGGCCATCTATAGTACGCATTACCATTTTCTAACATTCGCTAACTTAACATTTCTTTCTTTTCTTTTCATTGGATACATGTACAGTGAAATATTTATTTTTCTATGACATTTTTATATATATATATATATAAAAACATGTTTCTGTTCTTAATTAATCCCCTGCCTTTTTTCATTGATTCAACTCTTCTACTTTGTAAAGTATTTACTGCTTGATGGTATATTAATTATTTACCTTTTATTTTGTCATTATCTTTATACTCCTACTTTTTGTCATACTTTAGGAGCAGTATCTCTTTCTTCATGACTCACTGAATGAAGGATTCACAGGCAACAGTGTTCACAACAGCGTTTTGTCGGTACTTTAACTACCGGATTCCAATATTCTTTGGCTCGTATACTATACATTATTCTGAATTTTCTCTGATGACTCTTAATTATATGCTTATTTTAAAAGTTTTATTATGAAAAAAAGTTGACATTACCTGATCTCATAATCGCATGTTTTATGTATGCTAGAATTTGCAAAAGAAAAACTGTTGCAGAATTAAATCATTTTATTTTGTGTAAATATTTAAGACTTTAAACACTACAGTGGCTGCAACGTTATTGTTGACAACTTACACGAACGATCACGTTACACGAACGATTCCGCACGATTAACGCACGATAAAATCTGTTACACGAACGATCCTTCACGCACACGATTCTACACGTTACACGATCTTACACGATTGCTAACGCAAGCGCACGATTCTTCATGCAAAATAGTTCAAATTCTTTAGGAATGGATATTTTCAGAACGAAATCAGGCTTATTTATTTTAGATTTCAAATAATTATTGATATTATTTCATCGACTTTGAAAAATGAAAAAAAAAAAGAAAAAAAAAGAAATGAATATTTCTGGAACTAAATACATGTAAGACTTATTAATTATTTTAGATTACAAATAATTATTTACGTAATTCTCCGACTTAAGAAAACTGATTTTGTGATGTAAGATGTTCATGTAGGTGGACCGTGAGTTTTGATTTAATTGGATTTCATAATATGCAGAAAGGGATAAGTTTGGGAGAAAAATGGCATGAAAATGAATTAAATTATAAGTTATATCCAAGTTTCCATTTGTGAATCTTTAAGATCAACAATTATTTTACAAATCATTTATTTGCAGAAAATATAAATATAATTAAAAGTAAGCTCCAGAATAAACATTGATAAACGAAACACCGACAATCATATCGTGTACATGTACATTCGCTTATTTTGTTATGCTGTATCTGTCACTTGAATTAAAATCTCCGACCAATGACGTCATAACTGTTCGCTGACTAAATATTTATGTAAGCATTGAGAATTGTTTATGTATTAATTTGTAAAAATATCTTTTTTTGATCTATTGTTTTTAAAAATATCTTGACCATAATTAGCAGTAAACATAATTAACATCAGAGAAAAATCCTTAAACATCTAAGTACGGTTTATCACAAAAAATCACACTATTTGACAAGAACACAATATTGTACGACTTGCTATATTGTTTATTTCCAAGCGATAATTAGTTCGTTCTGCTCTCAATCATGTAAATCGCGCTTCATTTATTTTATTTGGATAGAAAAAAAAGACAAGCGAAGTGATTTTATAACAAATAACATTCCGATAAAAACTAACAAAACGAAATTTACACGTTTCTTAACGCACGATCACGCACGCTTAAAAAAGCAAACGATTGAGTCTGATACATGCACGATCTCGTACGTTACACGAACGATCACGCACGTTACACGAACGATCACGCACGTTACACGAACAATTCTACACGATTGGTTTGTCAACAATAACGTTGCAGCCACTCTATAAACGTCTTTTTAAATAATTAAAAATTACAATGCATTCGGTCATATTTATATCGACTGAACATATTTTCATATTTCTCTTGAAAATGAATCCGGGATGTTTCGCGCCGATTCTGTTTCGCACTGAGATGGTTCGCGCCAGGATGATTCGTACGGTGGCGGTTTGCTCAGCGCGTCTGTTCAACAATTCAACAGTGTTTCAATGAGGATTCAATTGTATTATAATTATGTAATTATAATAAGTTGGAGATCAAAAGGTGAGAATTTAAGTTGATGTGTGGGTTGTCCAAGCCAGAATTAATTACTTAATTAGATGGCGGTATTATAATTATCTACTTATACGTAATTAGCACGGTGTTATAATAATTCATGCTATATATGTATACTTCAAACACAGACATAAATAATTTACGTCTCTGCTTCAAATAAAATCTTCTTAAATATAAAAAAATGTTCCAAAAATATCTATATTTACATATATTTAAAATCTAAAATTTTGTTAAATGAACTAAACTCAGTAGCACATTTATGTACTTGGAGTGAAACATCTCGGGCGAATCATCTCAGCGCGAAACAGAATCGGCGCGAAACATCGTGGGGCGAAACATGCATAGGTGCGAAACATCCTGTTACCTTGAAAATCATGGTCGTTTATTAATTCTTTAACACCACCAAGCAAGCTAATTATGGATTTCTTGAGCAGTGGCTTTTCCATTGATGAAATATACAAGACCGGCACATCAATAATACAACATATTATTGATGAAGACATGAATATCAATATTAAAGTTTCTTTGTTTGTTTGTACGTAGGTTTACGTTGCAATTATCAAAGAAATAGCAGAGAGGGGTTGAAAACTCTCGGATAATAATCAAAGAAATAGCAGAGAGGGGTTGAAAACTCGAAAATAATTATCACAGAAATAACTGAAAAAATAACGAGGACGGAAGGTCAAACTTATTTTTTGGGGGGGACTTAGCTAAGTGACTACATGTAACATTTATTTGTACACGTATTTTGACCGATACAGGGAAGTTTGTGGTTCATTTTTGCTAAATGTAAGAATGGAATTTATGAAGGTTTTTCATTGCAGTTAGATAAGATATTTGATAATAATCTATATTAATCTAATATAATATTATCTAATTGTAGATAATAATCTACAATTATTATCTTTATTTGAAGTACAAGGTAAGTGTACTTCGAAAAAGAACCTATGTCGCACACCACTAACAGAAATTGTCCTAAAGGACTGCTTTTTGCATAAATTTTATAACAGAATCTCGAAATACGTTATAAAAATACGCAGGTGTGTTAAGGAAGCACTAAGATAATTTGACTTGACTAAATCAGTGATACAATATGACGTCATAGTAGGCGAGATGACGTCAGGTTTAGAACACAATTTTTCCTAATATTGCTATTTAGAGATATAATTTGACTCCTGAAAATAAATAGAAATTAGCAAATATTAACAAAAATAAAATGTGTTTATTTTGTTATGCTGTATCTGTCACTTGAATTAAAATCTTCGACCAATGACGTCATAACTGTTCAACAAGTAACATGAGAATCGATCATGTTGTGTAATGAGAATTTGACCAAAAGGGCATGTAAAAAGATACGTAAAAGGAGGATTAGAAGCAAATACCGTGAATATTGTGTGTTATTCATGTGAAGTTAAAGTTTGTTAAACAGGTATGTTGATTTATTTTCATCGATTATATCTTCTATTGAAGACAGTCAGCTATTTACGTATCCCGGTTGGCCTTTCCTCTGTCATTCGTGACAACAATAATGCAAAAGAACAACATTAAGCTGGATACTTAAAAACATAAGATGTGTACATATCGAAAGCTTGTGTTCTATAATACTTGGAAAGTGCTGCTAGAATCGTGAGGTAAACATGGTTTGTAGAAATATCTCGGGTTATATGCATAAAATGCATAACATCGAGTAAGGTTTCGTACATATATGTGGAATAATTATTTTCCCGATAGGACAGTGGGATTCTAGCAGCACGTTTTAGGCATAAGAGATGTATTTCAACTATGTTATTTACTCAAAGAAATTATTTAACCCTGGGGTAGTGTTGTTCTGTGAAGTTTTTCATTAAGGAAAATTTTGCTATTAATAGCGGTCACGTGATGACGTCGAGGTGGTGCACTACTTGGCCTCGGACACTTCGTGTAATAGTTAATAATAGTTTATGTTTTATCAGAGACTTTGATGAATTATTAATCTCAATTTTCTTTAAAAAAGTCTAAATTTCCCGAGAAATGATTTGTATGCTTCCTTAGCATACCCGCGTAGGGTGTTTTGATTGCAATTTCAGCAGAATGTTTTTTGTCCTTTGGTTCTTATAAAAAATATTTTGTTTATTTTTTTTACCTTAACATTCTTTTGATATTTTAAATTGTGAAATGGATGAGTTATAGTACCAACCTGACACAAAGCCGCCCCAGAGTAGTCCCGGGGACTGCTTTCTGGGACTGCTAAAGCCGTCCCAGAGCAGTCCCACAGCTGTCCCAGAGCAGTCCCACAGCGGTCCCAGCGGTCCCAGAAAGCAGTCCCAGCAGTCCCAGTGGGCGGGGTTAATTAATTTAACGGGTGGAGCTTACTCAGAAATGAGATTTCCAATAAACGATGTAACTATTAAAGGCAGTTGAAATTGGTGATCATTTCTTTCTGAGTAGTATCAACAAATATTTACAATTCTTACGCGACAGTCATTTCTGAACTGTTAAGAAAATCACAATACGCGTATAAGCTCACACCCATTGATAACATATGAATATTCAAATACAATTATTTGGTATATTAATTTTTCACCAAAATTAATCAATGTCTGTGATTGATATTGGTTTTCGTATTTATTTATTTATTTTTTATGGAAAATTAAATTTGAATTGTTTATTTTCTACCAGAATTACCTTTAAAGAGAACTTATAATAATAGAGCAAGGCCAATTCCCATACTACACTCTGAATGCATTTTCCTAAGTACTGGAGCTTTTGAAAAATTCTTTGATAAATTTTGCCGAGTATTATATTTCAGTCATGATTATTTTCATTGACTTGCCAATTTAATTATGGTTAGATTCTCAGTTTTAAGTGTTTTATTATATAAATGTTCAAGTGTACATCTGTAAATCACGCGAATGGCACCCTCAGATTATGTTCAAAATTAATTAATTCCGAAATAAATTTATACACAATTATTCAAGTTCAATTATTCACCCAACTCACATTGAAACAAAGATTTTTTGCAGTACATAGATTGAAATTAGTGTCATTGTTGACCAGCGTGTTCAGTGATGTGTAACACTGATACCCAAGTAACATGCATTGACTTTCTGCTAATTATGCCCAAAGGCGATTGAAACCTCAGGTGTGACACCACTTTATACCATATTGTATTGCTTTTTATTAATCGGCCAGCTAAACACAAACAAAACAAAGAACAAATAAGTCCGAAATCCCAATATTTTCAAATGTTTATTTTCTAAAT